ATTATTATAATTAGGCAGCTAAAGCATGACTGACTGGCTTCAAGAGAAGTTCGGCGTTTGTGTGCCGACCTACGACAAGATCTAACACGAATGTCACCACGAACAAGCAATGCCTCGTAGTAATACTGATACCAGCCACCTGAGTGCCAATATAAGGCTTACCTTTGAGTCAAGTCGGCTTCAAATTGTTTCGCGAATTCAATTTTATATAAATTTACATCCGTTACTACGAGCATGGTTCTGATTTTAGGTAAGGCAAACCAACTATATAATTTTATTCAATACTTTATCTGAGAAATGGTGCTCCGAAGTGTTGTTGGGGAAAATGCTTGATTTTGACGAAGAAAACCCCCCATTCCAAATCACTCCTCCAACGACGCTTTCTAGAAACGGACGTTGTTATTTTTGCTTCAAAGTAAACTGCCCAAATTTTCGCCTTATGTAAACTACCCTCTTCTTTGCTCTATGTAAAACACCCATATTTTTTGCTTTACGTGAAATACCTACATTTCTCCCTCCGCAAAGGAAGACGGAAAACCGCCTCCTCAGAATGCCTGTACACACATTAATGGCATAATCGACCCCCCCCCCCTCTTCCCCCCTACCTTCACAAAAGAAAACCCGCTCGCCTCCCGACAATCCTCAAAAAGAGAGATCAGTGCTATTTCAACCATTAAAGGAACAAGGGAGATCACTACCACTCTTCCCTCTACGAAGTAGTTAATATTTCAAGGGTTGTCTCCTTTGGAATTTTTTGTGCCTTGATGGGTGTTATTAAATGGAAGAAAAGGACAGAGGGTTTTCGCTCGGCGCGACTTGCCTTTTAAAACTGCACATTGTCTTTGGGGTGTTGACTCGTAATTGTTTATTTTTTAAATTGAATTTTATTTCGAAGTTCTTAGCTAGATGCGCTGCCCTTCTTTAAAACTCGATATTGATGATTTTCCACCGATGTACACGCATTTCCATTCCAAAATTTAAGAAAACAGTATGAGAAGAATGTTAGATCACAGTCATGTTGAAGAAACCTCTTCTTTCACGATACGTACATCAAACTTTTGTGTCCTGGTCAAGTTAGTGACAATCTGAGCCACACAACTTTTGGGCTTATTTTGGGGAGAGAATTATTATTATCTGTCCCATTTTCCATTTCTATAAGGACCGACTGCCAAAACATTTCTCGGAGAAATGGTAATAAGCCATGTGGAAAGTACAGCGGAATGGAAAAAATGGAGGAGTGGAAGAGGAGCAGCAGTTTAAAATGACAAAATAATTCAGTGCAACGACTTAATAGAGTCGTCTGGAAAAGAACAAACAAAATTATATCCGCTCTAAGGTTTAAAACTAACTCTAGAAGAAAGCTTTTCAAAAAGAGAAGCACACAATTTGAGATAGCGACAAAAAGAATGTTACGCTATGTTCTTCAATAATGTTTTCTCTATGAGAAGCCATGCTGTTTTAAATAGGTTATTGTAGTAACCTGTGCTAAGGTGTCTGGGATCGTGGTTCAAACCCTCAAAGTTCACACAAAACAACAACAACAACCACGACGACGACAGCAAAAACAATACTCGTTCAATACACGAACACAAAAAGAATAATTCAAACAAACACAAAAGAAAGCAAACGAATACATATCCAAGCAATTGGCACTGTGTTGGTAAGGGCAATCAGCCCATGTCCTTTATGAGCCAGAACTATGGCCTGTGCTTTTCCGGTATGTGAAAAGTAATACGCAAAGACCACCCATTTGGAAAAATAAAGAGACAGATTACAGTAATTTCTTTTCAAAGTGTCGTTTTCAAATGTTTCAATGGTTCTTTCCTGCACTAAAAAGTACCCATCTGGCCCCAACTTAACAACAATTTCTCTCCCTCTGTTTATTAATGAATTTAACTGTTTAGCTGATTTACAGTATTATTTTCAGATGTGAATCGTGAGTAATTGTAGTGAGGACAAACGAAATACAAACCCTTCGTACATGTTGTGAGCTTTTCCCCAGATAAGGGTCAGACCATGAAAGAAATTGTAATGAGTACTTGACTGCTCGAATGTTGATAAAAAATTCTGGACTGTGCGGTTAATTGTACACACATTCTTGTCTTGGTAACTAAGTCAGGATAAGTCCGTAAGTCCCAAGAACAAGTATCGCGACAATCGAAAATAAAATTGCGGTCTAGACAGTCAAATGGAGACTATTGCAAGTATATTATTATCATAACTTCATGGTCCAACGCGAAAGGAATCAAAGATTTTCTCCAAAAGGTCGTTTTCTCTCTAAAATGAACGTTTGGGATATTATGACAATTGCGGTGTGCTTCAGGCTAGAAATCTCCGCTGGTAATTTGTACAATATACACTTCTCTGTTATTTTGTGTTGTTTCCGATCGTCATGCTTTCGCCTACATTAGATCGTTACATGGTGATATAGTGTCTTAAACCAGGAGTTGATTCTTTGAGAGAGCATCAAAGCCGCGCACTATCAGAGCCGCGCACTTTTTAAAAATGATATCGATATTATTAGATTGTCAATTACCAAAAGAGTACCATCCAACAATTTAAGTACCTTCAGCGTTTTACCAGATATCAATTAGATTTTGTCTCTCTGTCCATGCATTTGTCCATCCATGTGTTCATCCATCCCCTCCTCCCTTCGTCCACCCATTTGTCCATCCACCCTCTCCTCTGTCCATCTGTAAATCCATCTCCTCCTCTGTCCTTCCATCTGTCCATCCATCCATCAGGTACAAAAACATATCTACAGGACAAGGGCCATCTTTAAAGTGCCTTTCTGTTTGGCATGGTTTGCGTTTTAGGTTTCAGCTTAGAAATGGTCTGGAAATCAGCAGACAAATATATTTGGATGAGGGCTGTACAGTGTAATTTTGTCAAGGGGACTATAAACGTTGGATGGACTCGGCAATCTAAATTGTATCGATATCGTCAAAAAGTGTGCGGCTCTGTTAGTGCGCGGCTTTGATAGTTTCCCGATTCTTTTTGTGTCGATGTGAAGCAGCCCTATGCTTACCACAGTATGCGACATCAACGTTGAGCAAATATCCCCCCCCCCACTCCCCCCCGTTCCATTAAAGAATAAATTCTAGGTGGGAAAGAATCGGACATTACCTACAACGACCATGACCACCACCACCACCAACAACAACAACAACT